AACTTAGGGAAAATTTGGTGAATAAAGCACAGGAAAATCATTACTATTTAACGTTCTTCCCAGCACGACATATCCTAAATTGATTTAATATGCTTGTTTCCTTTTAGTAATCACCTAATTGATTTTTCTCTTTGTTTAGCATTGTCTCCTAAGATTTTGACTGCTACTACCTTTACTTTGACTTTTCTTTTCTTCTTATATGCTTCTGGCTTAGATGCTCATACACTATAATTTAAAAATATACTACCAAATCTTGCCTTTTCTATCTCTGCTAGTTGCTCTAATTTGTCTTCTATCTCATTCTTGCAAAGAAAAATTTCTATACTATTTTCTATAAGTTGAACATCTTTCATACCTTCTAGTACTTTATTTCTTTCCTCTTTTTTGGAAATACTATCTACTATTTCTTGATGCTATATATCTTGTCTTATGGACTCAACTAGTTTTACCTTCTTGGTATTCTTTGTTTCTGTTGTCTGCTTTTCCTTGATTCTCATTTTTATCTCTTCTACTACCTCATTTGTACTAGAATTCTAGTTGAGTAAGAAGTATTTGCCCGATAAATCTTGAGTTTGACTATCCCCAGGGTTGAGGATAAGTCAATTAGGTAGATAAAGGGTTAACGAAAGTAAGAGTAAGAAAGATCATTCACGTGATACAAGAATAGCGATGGATGAAGCCTTGGAATTCCCTTTGCCAAATCTAAGCCTTCTTCCGATAGGTCTCCTAGTTAGGTTACACGAAAAGCCTTAAGATTGAACGACTGGCTCGCCGTTTTTAAGTGCGACACTATATTGTGATAAAAATCTCAAATTTATATATAAAAATTAGAAGTTGGGAGTTATGGTTGCAGTACAACTTAGTTTGGAAACCCAAATAGTATTTATTTAGGTTTGTAAAATGTTTCAAATTTGTTGTAATATCAATATTTTACTTAATACTATAAATCTTAAATATTATATGTAATACAGAAATATTCATTTATTGAATTAAAAAAGGTCAAATTCACATTTCTATATATTATAATTATATATACAATAATTATTTGCATATTTAAAATTAATTTTACTATTGAAAAACTAGTAAAAATTTTACCAATTTCAACAAAAAATTTATTCACTCATTTATTGCAATTTTTTTAAAAGTAGCAATTTTAAACGAATAACAAAAGAACAATGATGACAATCTTTTCGAAGCCATGGCTATCCCATAAACAGTACGTATCAATTTTGAGTATAACGATAAAGAAATGGAGCACAGGTATTTTGTATTGTGACCCGTTGTTAATTTATGTCGTGAAACACCCATATATGATTACATTATTGAGATTTGGGCGTTTCCAATGAAATCTTATCCATAAAGATTTCAAGCTTTTCAGTCGGGCTTATTAATTTAGAATTTGTTTGTTGTAATCGGAGTTTATGCGTTTATCGTTATAAATTCTAGAAGTTAAAATAGAATAAGTTTTTAGATTCTTTTACTTTTTGATTTTATCTTCTAGACAAATAAATACATTTTACTAATGTCAAACAACGAAAATAAAATTGATGATTCTCAAGTAAAACTTATTAATGTGAATTTGACAGAATCGACATTTGATAGTATTGAAGCTGATAACAATGAAGCGATTAATAAAACTTTCATAAACGATGGCGAGCCATTAGAATCCAACCAAAGCAACGTTGCGCCATCAAAATTGGATGATGTCGCTAATGTTAAGGACGAGAAAATCAATGTTACGCATGATGTACTAATGGATGAAGAAATAAATGAAAATGTAAATGGAGAGAAGCAGGAAGAATCTCAATATAATTTAGATAGAATCCCGACTGAGGAAACGACATGCGTTCGTGATCAGTCTGATTATGACATAAATAAAACAGGAAAGAGAAGAACAACCAAGACCACAAGAAAAGACACACTACAAGATGGGTCTTCTTCGTACAATTACCAAAATTCCAAAACTTCACCGGCTGCACGATCTTCAGCCTCCGTCACGAATTCAAGTCTTGGAACGACATCTTCAGCTTTTAACATATCTTTACGAAATGAAAAGAAAATTTCAGCCGAACATATCAAAACGGTGTTTCACGTACATTTGCCTTTGAATGTTAAAGAACTTGGTGTACCAGGTAATTAAAATAAATTTAACATGCATTTTTCTCTAAAGTGGTGATGACATCATTTCTATCTCATTCTGCAATTATTTGAAGTTATCGTCGGTAATATCAAGGAGCTAGGATCTTGGAATGATCCAATTGTCAAGCTTCATCAAATCTCTCGTCGCACACCACCCAATTGTTCTAATACTTACTGGGTTTCTGATCCTGTTTCGATTTCTTTAAAAAATCTTGAGTCTATCCAGGAAATCCGATACAAATATGTGATAGTTCCATCACAATTAACAACAAGAAAAACCAAAGACTTCAAAACTATGATTTATGAAGGCTTTGATGATACATCTGAACGTGTTCTTTTATTACGAGAAAATCAGTATGATATATGGAAAAATAATGAATTTTTAAATATTAGTCAAGTTAAAGATTATTATTTTGCTGAGCTTATATTTAATTCTTTAACTCCTGAAAATCTTAAAGAAAAAATTATAGAATATCAATCAATTTATAGTGATCGTGATCATTGGGTAAACGCAATCCATGCAGTTTCGATAGAGTTTTTTAGAGAATGTTTACATAAGAAAAATTCCAGAGAGCATCGTCTTTTGGTTCTCATCTTTATGGGATATTATATTCACGGAATTCAGAGACATACACATAATCGTGTTGAATTACCAGAAAAATTTCCTACACATTTGCTACTTGATATATTAGAATATGTTCAGGAAGATACCTTTCCATCCGATATGCATAAAATTGTCATGACAGCTTGTGTAACATTAATTCGTCATAATATTTCCAAGGGAGAGTTTACCTGGATCAAAATATTTCCTGTTGCTAAATTGCTTGATCCAGATTTCAAATTCCTCGAATCTCTCAAATTCAGGTTCGATGAAAAAGCAACACAATCTTTTCTCTACAATCTGCGTGACAAGGCATTCAATTATATTGATCAAATTAAACATTCTGAACCCTATGCTAATGTTGGAAAGGTAATTCTTAATATTTATTTAATTTATTTGTTGCTATATCATAATGACTTTTAATATTTTTATATTTTGAAGTGGTTGATTTCGAAATGTGAAACGATGGAATCACTTATGTACGTTTGGCAGAATATAATAATTGATCATACTGAAGATGTTAATATTTTGCTTCGTCATACATTGTTGGAGAGAGTTCAAAAGAATATACAATTTAAATATGATATTGTTCAATTACACAAGTTATTCATTGAACTTCCGCCGGATTTTTCAGAGTTAGTAGCGGAAGCATTTCGAAAAAGAATTATTATTCACTTAAAAAATGGTCTTGGAATTCCAAATTATCCGTCAAAACATTCAGAAGCAATATTTCAATTATTAAAAAGCGAGAACCTTTTTTGGACATCTGATGATTATATTATTGTGTTAGAATTGTTCTCTCAGTTCACTGACATTGAAATGTTGTGCCATTTTCATCAATTGTTAGATAATTTTCAAGATGAGAATGAGGACATTAAAGAACGGAAAAAAGTCTTTAAAATTTGTAAAAAATGGTATGAATGCCTTTTGAATCGTTTAACTGCTTCGTCTCATAAGCAGGACACGATATTTTTGATATTTTACCATGCATCACTTCTCTATGAAAGAATTGGAAAACATACAATTCTCTGGGAAAAAATAATGGAGCTCGCTGCCCATAGTATCAAACAGTTTCCTGAGAGTCTTATTTTCAAAGCTTTACCAAAAATTGAGAAGCTTCATGCGGATGTTGTTGGATGTTTTAGTCAAATTGTCGAAGAAATGCTGTCAGCATCTACCAAACATATCGATGATCTATTGATGATAAGAATTAAGCACATTTGTGCTTCTTCAGGTGAACAACTTGTGATTCCGAGCCTGTAGGTATCTTTATTTATTGATAATTATTAAACGTAACTGTTGATTAACATGCATATTTTAACTTAGGTTAAGCGAAAATTTTATTTGTCATATTATCGAATGCTTGCAAATAAGTCTCCCGTCTTATGATGCGGATTTGGATACAATTCCAACAAGTTTTCATTTGTCTCTTCTCAATGCAGCAGATTTTTGGAAAATGATTCTGAGAGCTAAAGGTTGTACGAAAGAGTTAAACTCACTTCATTACATTACGAAGATTAAACAGGCAATTTCCCAATTGGGTTGTAATATAATAAATGAATCAATTGATATTTTTCTTTTACAAAATATTTACAAGTATGATGATGATTTTCTATTAAAATATTTTGAATCTGTGTCAATATTTGATGAAGATGTTAAGATACATGTTACTAAGGAGATTTTAGAGTCAGTTAAGAAACAAATTAGGGAATATATGCAAACATTTGAGAACCTAAACGCTTTTTATGTGCGATATTGTTCAGTAACTAAGGTTACAGATGGACATGAATATCTTGATTATTTAAATGAACAGAAAAATATGTGGGAATCTATTTCACTTGATCAAATCCGGGGGTTGGAGACTTGGAAATATCATTACGAGATATTAGAAGTTGCCAAGAAAATTTACAAATACAACAAATCTCAAACATTTTATAATGTTTTTGAAAAAATTTTACAAGAAATTCCAAATGAAATAAATGTACAAACTCTTGTACAAGTTGTAATCCCAGAAGTTTTTAAATCATACATTAAATATTGTTCTAAATTTCAAAATTGGGAGGATATCCAGTTGTCTTTCGCAACAATGTTTTGGAAAAATGTCAAAGATATCAATGCAGAGCTTGAATTCATGGTTGATTATCCCATGAATCAAGACCCAAGATACACGATGACTCTTACTCACCTATCTGAAATTCTGAAATTGACACAGAAATTACATCAGCTGTCAACTGTAGTAGAAATATTTAATGTGCCTCGAAATGAACAAGATTGGCTCTCAGAAGCTCTTAATAACCTTGAAGAACAATCAATATTTTTAGGACACTTAAGCGCTATATTTGATTCAGTTAATAAATATATTGGCACTATTGATGAAAATACAAATGGCTGGTCATTAATTAAAGAGCTTTCAATTGCTGAAGAATTTATCAATTTTCTACGATCTGTTGCGGAACACGATCTTAAAAATCTTATAAATGGCGTTGATGATCATTCTGATGAACGATTGATTCAGGAAGACACAGTTTCATCTCTTATCCAGGTTAAACAATTCTTAATTCCACTAATGAATGCTGCATCAACCTTGACCTTGGATACATTCGTGCAAGAATTACTCAAAATCGCTGAATTGAATCCAACACTTTCAAGAAAGGTTACATTATGCAATAGCAACAATATGGCATTACAAAATATGTATGCAAATATTAGTAACAGAGGAGAAGTGACTAAAGAAAAGATTCAAAATTCTGTTAAAATTGGAACTTATAAATTTGAATGGAAGTCAGCAGATAAAAGATGTTCAGTGAAATTATCATATCCAATTACGAAAACAAGAACTGTCACATATAATTTTAATGATTTGCAAGATTTACGAGGACGGGCTCTTTTAATCGCAAAGCCGGATATCACAATTGGGGACTCGAATAAAAAAGATAAAACGAAAGATATAATGGATGAATTTGTAAATCAAGTGGATATAGCTCAAGACATCGTTAATAATATCGCCTCGAAATTGATTGAAACTGGTCATTTTGGATATAGAGAATTTCAAGATTCAGTCAAAGGGACTGAAAAAATGATTCAATTAGCCGAAAAATTAAAAGCAGATCTTAAAAAATGGTAATTATACACATGTCTTTTTACCTTAATATATTCGATTTATATACAATATTCTTTAACTTAGGGAAAATTTGGTGAATAAAGCACAGGAAAATCATTACTATTTAACGTTCTTCCCAGCACGACATATCCTA